AAAAAAAAAAAAAAAAAAGAGTCTATGTTCCCAAAAGGTGCAGATGGAATTAAAAAAATAGTTACTTTAACTAAATTTTTACAAATCCCTGTGCAGAAGGAAATAAAATATATACTTATTTTCATTTAAGTTTTTAAAATTTAAATTCTTTTAAAAATTTCTAATTTAGTAAATTTATAACATTCAGGTGGGCTTTTACCTACTATTTTAGGTAAGTCTGGTCTTATTATATACTAATAGATACTTAGATATATAGTATATCTCTAGAAATAATGGCATAAAAGATAAATAAATATTTGAAAATATCTTTATAATCGTAATTATATCAATAAGAATTTTTACTTGAAAATTTTTGGAACAGTAACATCATTGATTCATCAAAGATACCCATCTATCTATATATATTGTCCAACATTAGTCGATTGAAGGTATCCATCTATATATATATTGTCTATCAATCATAAGTCATCAATAATCCCTAATTCAAATCCTCAATAATTATAGATGCATAAATAACAATATACAATTCAATACGTGGAAGCAATATCAAATAATAAGTTAGTCATCATTGACCGACCACCACTCGCGTCCCTCCGCCGTGCCCGCACTTACTACCAGTATCCATGAAGAGCAGGCGGGGGTTAGCACAATTGGAACCACTGCACGTCAATAACAACATAATATAACAAGTGGTATGGTCACAACATGATCATAAATCAATTCAACATGTCACATCTCCAATCAATACACCAATAACTTCACTCATGTGCACATCTATCAGTAGCCATTGAAGGACCTACATCTCTCAACAATGGGAGTGCATACCAAAGGACATACAGCTCTCAACGGCATGGTCTTACATAGGTCTTACATAGGGACTTACGTACCTCACAAGGGTACGGCCATATCAGGACATAGGGAGATTGCCTCACAAGGCACCGTCGAAGGACATACAACTGACATCGACGGGGACAACCGTTCGAAGGACATACAGCTCACAACGAAGGTTACACAAATTCACATGCATGCCTTGATCATACAAACCCAGCAAAATATAAACACTTACGACATAACAGTTTAAATAACCCACCTGGATATTCTGAACTGAAACTGAGAGTCGTCGTTTATGTAGAAACTCGAGGGCTTGACTCCTCAGAATCTACATAAATATAAGCGGTACTCGAACAAATAACCAACCCTTATAAACTACTTTACTACTTTGAAGGATTTCCTAGCTCAAGGTTCACGACTTATAAAATATTTCTCTCTTCTCATGAAATAAAACTCAAATTTACTCACCACTCAGGAAAAACACAACATCATTAACCCTCGTAACATAAACATTTCGAAGCCCGGCAAGGCTCCGAACAAGCAAATAATAATCCGATTTTATAACGACTTAAAACCAATTATCTCCACCCTTTTTAACTTGACAAATAATGAAATATAGGCTATAGGGCAGCCGTATACTCAGCCACGAGCCTTAACCGAGAATCCCACATCGACAATATTACACCATACTCATGAATTCATCAATTTCAACAATTCTCAACTCGACGAACCTTAAGACCTATTAAATCCTTCAAAATACTCCCTAAATATTCAAAAGAGGGTTGACATATACCTCATTCGGAAATTAACGAGAACCGATGAAGGAGATCGGAGAAAATGGGCTCGTCTACATGCTGGCTGCTCGCACTCGGCTATCAATTCTCACGCACGGCCGCTGCTAGGGGTCACGGCTATCTCAACCCCGACTACTTGTTGCTGCTTGTGAGTCGTCGGTTGCCTGCTATCGGGTGACGGGGCTGCTGCTATTCGGAAAAGAAGCCGACGGGGAGTGTAGCTGCTGTTCGGGCCTGAACGAAGGCCGACGGGGTGCCACTCTCTCGCACCGCTGCTGCTATTCTGATCGGCAACGACCTTCGGCTCCTCACGCAAGAACCGGTTTGCTGCTGCTCGATATAACCGGCGAAAGGCTGCTGATGGGGTCGCCGGCGAGGGGTTTCCTCTTGATTTCTCGGTCGCAGAGACGTCCGACGGTCAAAGAACCGCTGCGTGGGGGAACTGTCGGCACTGGATGGGAAATTCTCGACGTGAACCGAGAGGTAGAAGACGGTTGCTCGATGAGGACGCACGGACCTGATACTCTCCATTCGACGAGCCCGGGAAAACGACGGCGGGTGCTCGCTGGAAAATTCACGGCCGGTGCTATGCGGTGATGCGAGATGACCTCGATTTGGTTGGACAGGCTCTGCTGCAAAATTGAACAGGGGCTGATTTGTCGACGCGCAGATGAAAGGAACTCGCCGGCGGGAATAGAAGGGTACGACGGGGCTCGAAGGTGTGACCTGATCGGCGATTGCAGCGAATTTGGGCGAGATTCATCGAAGGAGAAAGGGGTTCTCCAGTCTGCTATGTGCGCTCGAGAGAGAAAAGATATTGGGGCGGCGAAAATAACAACATTTGGGCCAAGCTATCTCACAAAATGGGCCGAGATGTACACAAATTTTGGGCTAACCTCCACTTTGGGCCGAAAATTAGCTTAATGGGCTGAATAATTATGGCTTAATAATGGTCTCGAGCAAATTCTAAGGAAACGAGAAAAACATAGAATCGACTAATCGAAAACAGATTAACAACGATCGACAATCGCTAAACCGAAAATTCTAACAATTCGGTTTATCTCGGAATAATTTTAAATAGACTAAAATGTCTAAATAGATTAATTATCTCAAATGATTAAATAGACATCAACGCCTAATTAATCCGTAAACTTGTCGAGCTCAGGAAATAAAATGCAAATAAATGCATAACATAATGAATAGTCCAGAAAAAATCCATAATTCAAACGGGGCACTACATTAGCATTTTTAGTTCAGCATGCATTACCTCATTTTGTTACCTTTTGTTGTATTGAATAGAATTTTTATTTTGGATTCGTGGCGTTTAGGCTAGTGATCTTTTAGAAATCCCTTTGTGATTATTTCTCATTTCAATGCTATTATGATTATGATTTTACTTCTTGACAGTCTTTGATGAGGCCCACTTAAGTAGATTCTAGTTTTTGTTTTCATTTGTCATTCAGATAATATTCATCTTCTGCTCTAAGAAGTTACATGATCTTTCGCTCCTACAGTTAAAGTTCTGTAACGGAAAATTTCTAATACAATAGCGATTGAATGCAGGGTGTGGGGAGCTGAGATTTAAATAAAGTCATAATAGAATACTATAAGTTCTTAAATTTGTTGCACCAACCCAAGTTGTAATGAATTCCCTCTACCATATTTTCAAAACTGTTAAACCCTTTTTTTTTTTTCCAAATTTTGCATTATCTGTTAAAGTCTGTCTTTTCAATTGATTGGGTGTTCATGTTTACTATAAATCACAACCTCACTAACCTTTTATTGTGCTGCCTCTTACACCGGTTGTGTCATTACCTCTAGTGATTTCCGTTATTTGCTCTGACATGATTGTTAGACGTGCACAGTGGCTTTCAATGTTCACTGTTTTCCCCTTCTACTTTTGGCTATCATAATGATAAGTGTTTCTGTTGTCTTTCTTTTTCAGCTTATTTTTGCAGGATTCATTTTATTTTTTGTTCACTAGTGATGCTGCTGCAATTTTAGCCACGTGCCAGTTTTTAGTTTCAAATCAATGAAAAACACCAACCATTGATTTCTTGTGCCCTTGGTACAATATTATGTTGGATTCTTCGTATCGACATTTTGAATTAAGTGCGTCAATTGAAGAGTGATACATAAATAATATTGGCCACCCACATTAAGATTGATGTGCGGAGTGATAGAAAAACTAATCATGGAAAATTATTGAAAAAGAAAATAGTAGGGAATCCATAAACCTGTTACATGAAATGCGCCAGCGCCCGCTACTCCCGGATTCCCCAACGAAGCTCCATCCGTATTAATCTTTACCGCCCTTTTGCCGATTCCTATTCTAATCTAATAACACGCGCTTTCGCCAAGAACCCAGCTATAAACAGAGACATAGCCAAGCCAAAAAAAAAAAAAAAAAAAAACTAACGTTTTTCTTACATTTCTCTCTGGAGATCACACCTGAGATAGTTGCCCCAGTAAGCAGATTATGCCAAAAACAGTTGACACTTGAGATGGTTACCCCAATATTAGCAATTCGCTTTCAGATAGTAAAGCCGAAACAGTGAGATATTAACTGCTTTAGACTTTCTATACAATAGGTGGTGGATAAATCATTATTAAAAGTTTAATGATGCACCAAGAGACAAGTCTGTGGACTATAGTCTTACTTTTTAACCGGTATTGCTCTTATAGTACTATAACAGTATCTTATTATTAAACAAGCAAACTGATATCATCAATTGCACTCTTGTTTAGCTTACCTACATTGTCGTTATTACCATTTCCAGTAGTTTGAGTTACTACTGTTTACATCGCTCAAATGCTTTACATGTTTCTTTGTTGACTTCACTTTCTATGTATTGTAATTTGTATTCATGGTTTTCTACTGACTTACTTCATCTGGAACATTTGATAGTCTATTAAACTAGAGAAGAACATAGAAGAAATAACCAGTATAATAAAACTAGGATCCGTTGGAGATTGTGTGCATTGTTAACCCATCATGTTACTGTTCAGTCATTTATCAACACAAAACATTTTGTTCTCTATTTAGTATTTGGAAGGAGAAGAAGTCCTCTACTGTAGTTATTTTGTTCAATTTTGAATTAGAAATATAGGAACTGCTCTGCTTATTATTTTACCTTAAATTTGTACAACCTACTACTACATTTGCTTCGTTGTCTTTTTGAGTTGATTTGTACGTCAACATGCTCATCCCATTTTTTTTTTTCTTTTTCCGATTCTTCTCGGATTTCTTGGAGTTCAAATTTTTAGTTACTGGAATTAGTGTGAGGAGATTGAAAATCGAGTTGGTTAAACAGCTGTTGGCATGAAGTATCGTTTCCTTTTCTGTTGTTTTTATTCCAGGAAGTCGAGGAAAATGTCCCCACCTTATAGGGTTCTGCTGCATAATGACGACACGAATAAAAGGGAGTATGTAGTACAGGTACTTATGAAGGTTATTGATGGAATGACGGTCGACAATGCTGTGAATATTATGCAAGAAGCGCACTTCAATGGCATGTCGGTGGTCATAGTTTGTGGCCAAGAGGATGCTGAAGAATATTGTATGCAGCTTAGAGGGAATGGCCTCTTGAGCTCGATCGAGCCTGCCGAAGGGGGTGGGTGTCACTGATATCCGTTCTTGATTATTGCAAATTGCAAATGGCGAATGGTAGCATATATGTGTACATGTACATAAAGGGGTGGAAATTGGATTGTCTTGTAAGAACCCACTTCCGGTAATACTGTTTTAATAAATATATAAGTTAACTTTCTCATTTGTAAGTTCTTTATGTGGTTTAATATGGTAGCTTTTAGATATGACTGTTTGATGAGTAGGGATTTGGTATTCTTAGCTAAAGTTTCATAGAACGTTTTATTGAAGTGAAATTTAAAATGAATGTAACTGATGCCCAAATTCTTGACTTGTGTGTCGAGAGTTTTTCGCCGGGACCCCTCCCCGACTTGTCTTGTAGGCCACTGGAGCTCAAGGTTGAAGGCGGTTCGTGGTTGCACTGGTCTAAACCCAGTTTGAAGGCAATTTGTGTATCACCATGTTCCGTTCAATACAAATGTACTAGTGTAATTCATTAGTTAAGAACATATTTTAAAGTTACACTGCAACCATTCATGATAGTTCAATTCTATTTAGGTTGTGAACCATATTTTATATTTTACAAGAAATCAATGATATGATCTTCTATTGAACACGATAAATCATATTATCTACCATGTAAAGTATTAGAAAATTTGCATCACTACGCAAATATTTTTGACTAATTTTGATTTTCATTAATAACTGGAATTTAGTTTAAACAAAAACAATGCTTTCAGAACCAACCAACACTTTTTTCTCCAAAGCAAACACGCAATTCATTCAGAGGAAGATTATGAGGTTTGTCTCCCACCAAGTCGATCGAAGTTGGTGTCGGGAATACAACAGAAGATCCCGAGGTAAAGAGCCTAGTTCTTTTAGTCCCTTTCAGTGCCGTAGACGTATAAGTTGTCTCAGATATGCGAAAAGTTCAAAAGCGTAAGCATCCAATCATAATCTTTAGATTTGCTGCATTTAGGATTATGTCGTAGACAATTCGTTCTTGTACAACCATCGAAGTTTTTCAGAGAGAGATCCCTTACAGAGATTATTATTATTAGTTCTACCTGCTGAGAAAACTTAAGAAAAAGTTTTCACAACAATGGAAGTGTCAAGTATGAGTTTTTCACTGTTACTCAGCTAAACTGAAGTCAATATTACTGATACATTTTTGGAGTTTGCTCAACAATATATCAAGGCATAAAGGGAAATTTTCAAGACAAAACCCACAGCCCGATGTATTGACAACTATGAGACATAATTATGTATCCCGTATAGGAAGTTCCAACAATTTGCATTGTCTATGCTGCAGCTGCAAGAACAGAGCATATCGGACAGGATCTCTCCTCATCTACCTGTAACACATATGCTGTAAATAAAGTCGACCAAAATTCGACTGCCAAAATTGCACAAACGTAAGGAGTAAATATTTCTCTGTCTACTGCTCTGCTATTCAATGGCGGTAAAATTATTCAAGGTTGCTAGCAAATTAGACAAAAACAGTACATGCTTACTCTCAACGTGAGTCTTCTCGGAGGCAATATTGCTAATAGTGGGGAAGTTAATTATCCAATTACCAAGCAAACAATGGAGTAGTCTAAATAGTAATTGTCTAAATAGTAATTGAAGAGAAAAGTAAATTTCGAAAGCAATCCCTTTCGCTTTTATCATCATTTTCCATTTCCTTCCTCCGAATTTCAATTCGTCAAAACAGATATAGAATATAGACTCGCTAAGAAGACAAACCTATCTTCTCTCAAAACCATACACAAGTAGGCCATGTAATAGAAACTTAGTTTTTACTCTCTAGTAAGTTTGACATCAGCCACAATTATCATACATTCACTCGACCACTACACAACTCAAGTGCTTAATGCATAACATAGTCGAGAACAAGTACATCGCCTCGCCCCTTAGATTCCTTTCCACCATCAAATAATCGAAGAAAATGCTAATGGTTGGAGCCGAACAATCCTCCCAAGGTTTTTATTATGTGTTACTCAACAAATATCTGCCTTACACACATTCCATTCATTCAAACCGTAACCAGACTGGATCCCCTTATCAATCATCTCTTCCAAAAAAAAAAAAGAAACTATCATCAGATCCATTAAACAACAAAGGCCATAAAAAAGGAATCCCATTAGATCCAAAGAGCCCATTCTTTTGTTACCTATTACAACAGAAGTGGCCGTGCCCTAATTCGCCTTGTTGTTCAGAGTCGTCTCGGATGGCGATGGCAACAACGGCGTCCCATTCTTTGGCAATTTAGCAAGCACGGGCCTTCTGCGTGGCCCACCCTCCTCAGACTTGCCGAACAGCTGTTTTCTGAGAACCTCGTGCAGATGCCCAAACAGCTCCTTCTTCAGCTCCTCAAACGCCAGGTTCAGCCTCTCGAGCTGCTCCATGGCATTCTCATTGTACATAAATAGCCCATAGTAGAGATCAAAGCTGTCGCTGGCTGTATTCTCCACTAATTTCAACAGTGTCTCGTAACCTTTGGTGTTGATGGGCGTGCTCTCAAGCTGCAGCTTCTCAAGTATCCTACCCATCGTGTGAGTAATAAACTGGGAGCCAGCCGCGTACTTGTCGTGCTCGGCACAACTCATCTCTACCATGGTGCAGCCTTCCTTTTTAAAGATGTCCAGAAAGGTGTCGGCCCTGCTGATCCTTGAATCCTCGTCCCCAATCCGTACTCTGTCGAACACGAAGGGAAGGTTTTGCCAACTGTTTTTGCCGCTCTCAGGACCGAACATGGGATGAGTGCAGAGGATGTCAAAGTGTGAGGGAAGGATCTGGAGGAAGATGTTCTTGGGGAACTCCTTGACGGAGAGGACGTCCACAAAGAGTGTGTTCCGGCGGAGGCGCTGGAGGGGGATGGATCTGAGGACCTTCTCCGTGGAGATGATGGAGGTGCAGATGAGGATGACGTCAGGGTGCTGCTCGCAGAGGTCGTGCAGATCGGGGAAGAAGGCGGCGCCCATCGACTGCGCGGCGCCGTGGTGGTCGGATCGGGAGTGGGCGTAGACGGTGTGGCCCTGCCGGACGAAAGCCCTGGCCAGGAATTGGCCGAAGTTCCCGAAGCCGATGATGGCGATTTTGAGCTTGGTGGACTGGGCAAAACGGGTGACGAGGTGGGCCTCGTAGTCGTACGGCTGGGCGGCGTCGATTGCGCGGACGCGGAGGCGGCGGCGGGGGACACCGCCGCGGCAATGGTGAAGTCCCGGCGGAGGCGAGGGGGAGAAGGAAAATTGATGGGGAATGATGGAGGTTTTGGCGGCGGCGGCGGACGACAGCGGTGGATTGGTGGTGGTGGTTGGTTGAATGGAGGAAAAGGAAACCATAGCTGATTTCTGAGCTATTCTCTTCTTGTGCTTCTTTTATTCGTTTTTGGAATGTGTGTTTGATGTCCACTGTTGATTCAAACTAGTTTGATTTGATGTTCAGCAATTTGAGAAGGAGAGATGACTGGTTCGTTCGTGTGAATATATATATATATAGAGAGATAGAGATAGAGAAAGAAAATGTGTGTAATGTGTATGTATAGGTGGAGAAGGGAAGGTGGTGCCTAGTCTCTTCTTGAGGGGTTTGGTGATTTGGGTGTGTTTTTTTTGTCTTAAGATCTTTTTGGGTAGTTGGATAGATATCTACTACACGAGAAATGCTCATCTATTCACGATGGACATATGTTAATATACCTACCGTGTAGGTGGCATGCACTCATTGCTGCTGTATTTTTTTAAATATATTAACATCACTAATAAGTGCATTGCATGCCACCTATACAGTGAGCATATTAACATGTGCCCACCGTGGATAGGGGAACATTTCTATATACAACTATTGCTGAATGCTGATGAGGTAGGGCGTGGAGACGTGGAGTGCGTATTGGGGCGGCGGCCCGCTCTCGGTTTCTCGCCTACCATCGTAAGTGTTCATTTCACTCGGTTTTATTTAGGGAAAGAAAGAATAATCATTTTTGTACCTCAAATACAACCTTTATTATTTCAACACGAAATTACAATTTTTTTTTTTTGTCATGTCATATTCAAATGTAATCTATTTTGATCCAAACAGTTCAAAAATGATTTTTGTACCTTATATACAACCTTTTTTTTTTGGTTTTTTATTTATAACATGTCATTCCAATTTTTTTTTTTCTCTATCATGTCCAAAATTTAATCACTTTTTATCCAAACAGTTTAAATTCGGTTAAAGCAAAGGGTTACAGTTCGCTGTTATTCTCCACGATGAATTTCAATAAATCACATACCATTTCAAACCTCTCAACCAATCTATTAGAGCATCTCCATGCTCTAATATTATAGTAGAATAAGTTCTGCCAAATGTCAATACATTGAATGAGTTGTGAATCATGTATAAAAAATGTTAACTCTACAACAATGAAATTTATAACATCTCACCAATGCACAATATAGTTAAACTACAATATTATATACTTATCAAATATTAAAAAAATTAAAAAGAAGAAATAAAATTAATAAAATAATTATATTGCTTATAATTGGTAAGAATGGTCCTCTTTTTTTTTTCATTGGTTGGCTACAGTGTAGAAGAAAATGTGGATAAATCATATTTTTCTCTACATTGTAGACTTTAATTATGTCCACATCATCACAACATATGTGATCACATTGTACATTGAAGATAAAAAAATGGTGAATTTATTAAATGTGTTGATGTGGAATGTAATTTACCACAACAGCATTTGACCATTGAAGATGCTCTTAACGAAGTTTCATTATACACTACATTGAAATTTGTTAAAATTGACAATATTTATAAAAGTTTCAATCAAAATGAACCTTAAATTTTGACTAGTTGAGACCTGGCCATTGGATTTTTATGACTATATGTATAAAATTATTCTTTTGAAAAAATCAATGGTGTTTGTTAATCATCAGCAGCAACTCCCAATTGCCAGTAATATGCTGACAAAGTTTCCAATTTTACGATATTGTCAGCAATTAAGATACTCGAACAATGATTAGGAGGCATCGTTGGATTTTCCATTAAAAAAAACCCAAGCCAGGATTTATAATAACAATTAGGGGTGACCACTGAGCCACTTAGATCGCTTTGTTGACCTGGTGGCCAGACCTAGTTGACCAGTTAACTCTAGCACATTGACCAACATTCCAGGTCTAAGTCGAGATCGAGCTCGTGTACACGAGCTGATTACGCTTCAAGCCTACAAAATTTTTTGGTCAGGTACGTCCGGGCCCAACCCGAAACTAGATCGACCCGTCGGTTTTGGCTTCTCTTTTAATTTAAAATTTTAATATATATATATATATATATATATATATATATTGATTTATTTTGCGTTGGGTCCAACTACAATTCAACCTTGATCGTTGGATCTTGTAAATATTGCAAGATTAAAAATCAAGATTCACCCGTCTCAATAGATAGACGAACCGCCCCAAAACCCGCAAGTCAACATGAAAATATCATTCATTGAACTTTTGGTAATGGGATGATAGTAAAATTAATGTTTTAAATACTTACTGAACCGTACTGGCCGGTATTACTGGTAATATCGGATACCGTTGGTCTGACAGGTACGATTATATTCTAAATATCGTTTTTGTCAAAATATCGATTTATACCGATTTTGTAATACCCCTTTTGATTAGGGATTAATTAAGTTTATTATTTATTATCTTTATTATTATTATAATTATTGATTGGCTAATTGATATTATTATTATTATTATTATTTTGTTATTGTAAATACTAAATGTCTAATTGCTATTAATTTTCTAAATTGGCTGTTATTATTATTAGTACTAATATTTATATTAATGTCTAATTTGCCTAATTTTAATATGTATTTTAAATGTGCATTATTAATAAATATTATTATGTGTATTATATATCTAAATATTCCAGTTTTATTTAATTTATCGTACGATCATATCGAGCCTCGACTATTGTTATTGAAGAACCGAGAGAACCGAT